TAACATTATTTTTATTAATAAATATTTTACAGAAAATTGTATAAGGTTAATATGTAGAATAACTTCTGAACCTTATATAATATTTCAATGAAGTAAAAAAAAATCAAGGAATTAGATAAGGTTCATGAATATGAATAATATTAACCTTATTTAATATTTGAATTATAATCCTAGATTTTATATTTTTACTTCTTTCAAGATATGTTCTTGTATTTTTTCACGCACCCCCTGTAAACTGAGTGCTCGACCGTGTGTAGTGACACAAACGGACGGAAACGGCAAACGAACACGTGTGAAGAAAGGTCGGTTGGCCAACAAGCTTGTTCTGCATGACACCGATTTTATCGCTCTTGCTCAAAACTTCAACCTTCAAGACGCATACCGTCGCCTGCGCACCGGGCACACTCGTTCATTTGCGTGTACGAGCCTACGGCCCGAGGTGCTACCGTATGCTGACTACGCCTTTTTATGCATTGGCTTCTCGGCGGTGAAAATGCAGAATTTTCCACGGGGAATGCCATTTTGGTATGAGACAACTGCATGATACTTTTCTCTTGTGTCTCACATGGAAGCTATTTCAGTTAGGGATGCCGGATGGCAGTTGAACAAGAAGGCAGAACGTATCAAAGGCCTTTGGATGTGGTGCGGTTTTTGATGAGTTTGGGAAGAACGATGTGAAATTGTCTAGATTTGAAGATCTGAAGATGAACATCGCGGATGATAAGGTGAACGTTTTGTTGCAAAGTGTGACTGAAGATGCTCGCCGGTATGTTTTGCATGGTGACGCAAGTACATGGAAAGGAGTCCGTGGCCTTCGTTTTTACCGATGCCCTGTCAGGGCCACCGAAACAATGGGTGGTCGAAACGAGAGGAACTCTTGAATGCCCAGGTTGTTTGGAGATCCTTGAAAAAGGAACACTGGGAAACAAACGCCACAACCGCTCCTGTTTGAGCAAATACGAGGCTTGGATGCAGTCTGAAAGAGATGTTTGGAAGCCACCTCCGAAAGCCCATGTTGAACCTGTAGAAGACAAGGAATTCCTGGTTGAAAATTTCCTTTGCAAGAAGATTGGTACGAGCCTGAATCTCAAGATGGGTTGCCCGAGAAACCGCCCCAAATCCCAAGCAGACCAGAAGTGGAGTTTGATGACCCAATGCATGCTTTAGAAACGGAAGAGGCTGAATCTTCGGAAGTGAGAGGAACTGGAAATGACATGGAGGTTGATGACGAAGCAGAACTCGATCGCGTCTTGGCAGAATGGGAACGTGAGTATGTGAGATTTGTAAGCAAAGAGATGCTTTTGAGTTTTGAGACTGGTGATAGTCTTGACAAGCTAGAAGTAGGAACATGTTGCACGGAGGCTGAAGGTCGTCAGCTTATAGCTGCAGATGGAGGCCGAATGTTGACGAGCCGCTGGGTGATAACTCAGAAAGCTAGTGACCTAGCACGGACTCGGCTGGTGGTTCGGGACTACCGGAGTGGAGGCCGCTCGGCGTTGAGAGAGCCTCTCTCTGTTATTTGTGAAATCTAAAACCGCTCACAGCGCATCCTCAGAGGTTGTCATTCAGCAAATGTGGATTCTGCGGAAATTTGGTGGTTTTGCGCGGCGTGGCCACAGCCCTTCTGCTTGCACTTCTGCAAGGGTTTTCAGCTTGCTTCAATATGCAGGCAAAACGGGTCCTAGTTGCATTCTGTGCGTCTCGGAAGTTTAAGTTGCCCGGGCTTATAGCGCTGTTTCTGGCCTTGTAAGTGCGTTTCTGTTGCGGAGCTTTGTGGCTCGAAAAGCCTGACAAGTGCTTTCTAAGCGCAACGGTGACTCAGAGCAGAAGGTTGGTTGGGTTGGAATTCTCTTGGCCTCATTTGCTGCATGTGAGCCTTGGGTTGCGTCTCCGCCAATCCTGCGTGGGGTGCTGGGTTAGGGCAGCCGCAGATAGGCCAGCGCATCGCACGGTCACGTTGACGGTGGCAGCTGCAGCCGCCGCACGCACTCGGGGGCAGTGGCTGCTGCTGCCGTGCGAAGGAACTCCGAACAGTCGTTCAACTTGCTTGCCACCGCATTGCGCAACCCGCAGGAGTTGGGACTAGCAGGTATTTGGTGCAGAATTCCCTGAGCCTGCTGATTTGCAGCTTGGATAGGTCCACCTGGAAGCTACTTGGCAGAGCACAATGCTGAGGCCAGGCGCCGCCGGGCAAGGTAGTACTCTAGCTTTCCGGAACCGAAGAAGGGCGAGCGCAGCACCGACACGTCGCCCAGCAGCAGGTCCAGGTGTGGAGCCAGCCACGACTTACTGCCCATATACTTCAGCTGCATGCCGGCCTCGGCAAGACCGTGCCTGGCAGCAAAAAGAACGCCACACAACTCGCCGTCCGGGCAGGAATTGAGCCGCGCGGAGTAAGAAGCGCTTAGCTCCTTGGCCGACGCCTTAGCCACTGGACTAAGGCGTCGGCGAAAACATATGTAAAGATGTTTGAAGGACCAGTCACCGGCAACATCCCGGAGGTCCTGGACAACGGAGAGGTAACGGAAGGCACGCACGTCACCGCAGGGCAGCTGGCCCTCGCTCTGACGCCCTACGCGCAAGTGGCAGACCTGGCCGTGAACACGGCAGCGTCCGGCAACAACGCAGCTGCCATCCAGTCCCTGGACGACCGGGTCACTGCAGAGCTGGCTTCGCTTCGAAGCTGGACAGCAGCGCACTGGCGCCGGCAATCGCACCTCTGGCCACGGCAGGCCACCACGGACGGGCAGGTGGCTGCGCACGGGAGCAGCATCGCTGCGCTGCAGAGTTCGCTGACCACGGGTCTCTCGAACAAGGCCGACCAGTCGGCCTTCGACGTGCTGGAGGGCGTGGTGGCCACGCAGAGCACCCCCGACAGCGTGGACCTGAAGCTGTCGAACTACAGCACCACGGCAGCCATGAACGGCTCCATCGCCTCGGCCAACAACGCCACGCTGGCCACGGTGGCCGCCAACTACGGCCTCAAGACGGTGGAGCTGGCGGGGGACGACGAGAACTTCGTGGTCACGACGGACAAGAAGGACCTGGCTACCAGGGTGGCCCGCAGAGGCGGCCAGTGGAGCGACCACTTCAAGCAGGCCGCGTCGGCCTACAACGCGCGCCCCCACGAGGGAGGACGTCGAGAAACAGCCGGCCACCGAGTTCAGGGCGCTGCAAGACAACGCCGACAGGTTCCAGCACAACAAGGACTTGACGAACCGGCGCATGAAGGCCATAGAGGACGCGGGGGCGTTCGGGCGCCTACCAACGCGGCGAGGAGCTTCAACCTCCAGTACGGCAACGTGCAGCAGCTGCGGGCCGTGGACTCCATGACCGTCCGGAGCACCGAAGGCCGGGAGACCCTGCTGAAGCTGGCGCTGCCGGCGCCCCAGGGCAGCGGCAACGCAGCGGCGCGGCTGACGAGGCGGGGCCGGCTGCGGTGGGGCAGCTGGACGACTTCCTGGGGCCCAGGCGGCCCAGAAGCGATTCGGGCCGCTGACCTTCTTGAGCAGACTTGACGGAAGCAACATGCCTTAGCTTGTGGAGAGAAGTTTTAGCCCAAACACGACTTTGCGAATCTCGACCTTAGAGCGATCCCTGGACCCCGCCCAAAACGGCCATTCAGCTTGTGGATGCAAGCCTGACACCCATGGAACATGTGACGCCTCTTGTGACCTTAATTAAGTCCGCCCTGCTCCCACCTGCTGGCGCGATTTTTGTACACTCACAAAAGTTTCAGCACGTCCAGCTGCGCAATGATAGTCTCGCAACTCTTTGGAGAGTGTTTCTTCTCCTCGTGACGTCTGGCCCATGTCTTGTTTGTAAAGGACTGCCAGCCTTCAGACTCAATTCAAATCTGCAGCAACACATTTTGCAGTCCTCAAAGTTGTCCTTCTTCGCCTTGTCCTGCAACTTCAGGCCGCCTGCATCCTTTTTCTCTCCATAACGACATTGCGCTGCGATGAACTCGAGCTTACCAGTTGCCTTGCATCTCACAGGGATCAAAAGGTCGTTGTGAGCCGTTGCAGAATTCCGGTTGGACTTGATGGCCTTCCCAACGTCACTCATGACAGTTGCTTCATTGCCTTGGCCGCTTGGATATTCCACACCATCACTCCAGCAAACTTCGAACGGCTCCAAAACAGCTCGCAAGTGAATCCTCCGTAGGGTAGATCTCCAAAAAAGGTGACTTCAGCACTCAGGTTTCTTGCTATACAGTGAAGGCGGAAAACCGAGCCTGGCGCACGCGAGCCCCGGGCCTCCGTGTCGCTGTCCTGGCACGATTGCAACTGGCCAAATTTGCAACTGATGATTGGAGCGTCCTGCTGCGGGCTGGCGCGCAAAGCAACTCCGCCACGCCCAGCATGCCAGCGTCTCACCTCAAGAGGAGCTGAGAATCCAGGCAAAAAAGAAAAGCAACACCGAGACCTGGCGGACCAATTGCAACACACAACACAGGAGGCCCGACTCACACGCCCCAGTGCAACGGACGGCCTCTTCCAAGCCCTAAGGTCTGCTTTGGCCTGCGTCGCACGAAAACCGCTTGTTTACAAGAAGGCTGGTTCTGCTGCCTGGGCTGAATGCACTTCTGGCTGGGTGGAAGGGAAAAGACCAACCGAAGAAAGCCAGCCGTGGGAGCGACAAATAACTTCTCGCCAGGCCTCAAGTCTTTCTGGCCAGCAGCTTTGCGTGGACTATTGAAAACCGAGACGAATGCGCCAGGTTGGCCCTATTTCCTCATCGTGGCCCTTGTCGCTGCCATGGCTCGTGATGACGCTTGCAGGAGAAAGGGTTTTCTGTGACACACAGCATGCGGTTGCAACTACCGCTGACAGTGGGAGAATACACACGGCAGGAGCACACGGCAGGAGCACTGGATCTCAAGTCTACACAGACGAAAAACACCGCAAAAAATCTCGCGTCCAGCAACCGCCACACACACACACATCTTTTTTTGCAACGCGGAGCCCTGTCTGTGCCTTTGCCTTCAGCTTCAGGTTTCACCCAAAGCCCGCAAGCTTGTTTTGCAGAGGCTTGCCACGCTTCTCGAAGAACAGTCGAAGGGGCCCGGTCCTCTCCAAGAGGAGTTCCGCGAGGCCCACCTCGTTGAAATAGACGTTGGGATTGTCAAGGGACCGGCCCTCTTTAGTGCTCTCAGTGGTGTAGAACACGGGCAAGGCTTGGAGCACCTTCGGATTGGCTTGGAGGCCAGCCAGTGCTTTTTTCGCCTTGTCTTCCACCGAGGGCCACTTGCCCACGAACTCCTGTACATACTTGGTTTGCACGCCAAGAATCAATAGATGGGCGTTTGGGTCCTTCTCCCCAGGCCCTGTCGGCTGCAAGCTTCGAAGCAGCTGTCGGTGATCTTTGCGCGGAACTGTCCATGGCACCAAATACTCAATCCCTTTCTCAGTGCGCTTCTGGGACACCACGATGCTGCCGTACTCTAAGGAGCTCATCACCTCGTCAACGTCGTCAAAGGAATCGAGCTCCACCACCGAGTTCTGTCGGTGCCGCAACCCAGACAGCACGAGCACTTCTCGCAGGCTCTCCGGTTTCAAGCTCGCCCCTGGGAAGAGCTGCTCCAGCGTGCAGCTTTCCTGCTCCAATGCCAAACGCACCGCAGCATCGAAGTGAAGCATGACGGTCTCAAACTTCTTCTCATGCGCGGCCTCAATGACAGCATCCTCTTCAAACATCTTCTTGATCTGGTTTGCCAAGGGCTCACGGTGGCTGTCAGCCCAGCTTTGCAAAATGAGCGGGTGCAAGACTGACTTATGGCCAGAGTTGCCAAACTGCACGGCCTGGACTAAGCCGCGGGAGACAAGGTCGTCCTGTACTCCAGTCGCAATGATCGCACTGGGTGAATACCACTGTCTGACCTCGTCACTCTGCAAGGATTTGCCCTGGTCAAGCTTGGCAAAGCTTATCATTATCATGCGAAATTGGGCCAACGCAAAGGTGGTTTCAGGCACTCCACAGACAGAAAACGCATCCTGTAAAGCATCAAACGTCAAGCGCGGATGGCCAAGGAGCTGTCGCAACAGCTGTCGTCTGCCAGGTGTTTGCTCGAAAGCATTGCGAATCTCCTGAGGTACCCTGTCCAAGGAATCAGGTGGCAAAGCCTTCAAGGAGATCAGTGTCGCAATTTTGCGGCCAGACTGGCTTGCTCGCTCCTTCATGTAGCTCTCGAAGAGCGCTGTCCAAATGAAAATAACAGGAAACTCTCCCGAAATAAGAGATGCGTCTTGGGTGTTCATGAGGGTGGAGATGAAATTGCAGCACGGCTTGGTGCCGCATTTTTGTTCCAGCTGCATGACCTCGTCCACCCCCACCACAAGAAGCTCCTTTGACAATCCCAGCTTCTGCTGCAGAGCCCGCATCACCTTCTTCCATGGAAGGACCGCCGAGCACCATTCAGCGTCATCCCGCCGCATGCCGGCGCTCTGAAGGAGCACCTGTGCGAAGGCATTTTCTGGGCCCTTGCTTGCATCCCATTCGCTGCCTCCATTGAAATCCACGTGCAGTCCGACCTTCGCCCCAGTTTCGTTGAGCCAAGTGGTGCACATCTCATGCAGGAGGCGAGTTTTGCCGATTCCCTTGACGCCGGCCGTCGCCTTCATGCTGCACTTTGGCAGCGTCCCCTGCTCCCAGTGGATTGAATTGGCAACATCCATGACCCCGCGAATGTATTCAAGGAGTTCCCGCTTGGCCTCCGTGCGCCCCAACAATGCAGGTTTCATCGGTGCTGGCCTGCGCACCGTCCAGCTCGACGATAGGATGGCCTGGCAATGTTGCATTTTTCCGCATTTTTGCTGCGTGGTTGCGAAATATTCTTTTTGGCTCTCCAAAACCACCCCCCAGTCCTCGATGGCAGCCTGCTGCCCATCTGCCTGGGAAAGAGGCATCAAGTTGGAGCCTTCGTTTAGGGTCAACTCAACTGCTCGAAGATGTGACAATACTCAAAGTCATAGGGGAACAACATGGGATTTAAGGGCCAGCAGTCCCTGCCTGCAATTGTCAAACAGGCAGCCAGAAACTTCTTTCTGTCACAGAACAGTTCTCGCATGCTTGGGGGAAAGGTGTTGTTGCAAGCGTCTTGCACCCTGCAAATGGGGGCCAAGATCACACCGACTGCAACAACCGCTGGCTCAAACACTTGCGCGGTTCCTTCCCCGCTGTTTCATGTTTTTGCGAGACGCTGACACTTCATAACAGATCAAAAAGAAGCATTGGGCACTTGATGCAAAAGCCGAGCACTAGGAAAGCAAGGAATACAAGTGATACCAAAACCGAAACAAAACCAACAAACATCCAGCAGGAACATTGCCCATGGACGCAACCATTCGTGGGGCTCCACAGTGAGTCGCATCACGTGCGCCAACAATGCAGCCAGCTGAAGCCCAAAAAAATGCGCTGTGCCGTGCCCAAACGCGATCTTGGGATTTCATGGTTCTGTGGATGCGATCACAGCAAAAATACATGTGCACACTTTAGCAATCTCCTCCATGCTCGTGCTGTCGGAACAAAATTTAACCTTCGGATTGCATTGTGTCTGCAGCAGCAACGACCATGGCAGAAGGGTAGGTCTTGCTCTTCAAAAGGCAGGCGACTGGAACAGCAGGCTCTTCAATATTTGCGGGTTCCCCCTCGACTGTTTGATAGTTTTGCGCTAACCACTCACACCAAATCAGGCAGATATGAACAGGTACGGAGAAAATTGAACAACAGAAGGGGATGGAATGGCAGCAACACGGGCAAAACATCGAGCAAGAACACTGCCAGTGGACGCAAAGCCGGGAATGGTTGAGCTCACATTCATAGAATGCAATTGTGCCTGCAGCAGCAAGGGCCCCAATGATTGCAAAGACATCAGAGTTTGCCCTCCCTCTCCCCGGCAGACGGGCAGGTCTTGCTCTTTCAAAAACAGGCTGGGGGCAAGCGCAAAATCACTCACAACGATCAACGGCACGTCTCAATCAATGTCGACCAGCAGGAATGACCGACCTCCAACAAGGAAAGGCAACCATCCGTTCATGGGGGCTCCATACCGAGCCTGCCAACGACACGAACCGCCGCAATCTGCAAAAATGCTATCTTGGGATTTTCTCATTCTGTGGATGTTGATCAGGGCAGCCCATTGAAAGCATTTGCGGGCCGCGGGGGGGAAGTTCAGAACCACACGCAACGACCCACCGCACGTCTCAGAAAAAAGTCAAGAGAAACGATTTTCCAGCCGCGCCTGGGGCTCCTTCAGCAACTGGATCTTCTTTGTCAGCAGCTCTGCAGGTCCGCCAGGGATGTTGTACGGAGCTGCCATCAGCTTCTCCAGTGTCAGCTCCAGCAGGGACTTGCCGGTGACGCCTTGCTGCCGCAGTGCGGTCACCGTCCGCTGGATGAACTCATCGTCTGCTTCCAGCCCGCCGTCAATCAGCACAGCCTCTGCCCAACTGGGCACCTGGGCCTTCTTGAAGCCCTCCACCTCCTCGCAGCTCTTGGCGAGCCAGTCCTGCCAGCACTCACCAACAAGAAAGCCTGGCGCATGCGAGCCCCCGGCCTCCGCACCACTGTCCTGGCACGATTGCAACCGGCCAAATTTACAACTGCTGATTGGAGCGTCCTGCTGCGGGCTGGCGCGCGAAGCAACTCCGCCACGCCCAGGGTGCCAGCTTGTCACCTCAAGAGCTGAAATTTAGGCAAAAAAATCACATCAACGCCGAGATCTGGACCTGTGCCTTGTGGGAATCCTGGCGGACCAATTGCACCAACTCGACTCACACACCCCAGCTGTGCGCACGAACCGACGGCCTCTTCCAAGCCCTTTTTGGTTGCTTTGGCCTGCGTCGCACGAAAACCGCTTGCGAATCTCAGACAAAGCACGCAGTCCTGCCTCCTCCACAAACTCGCGCAGTTTTTGTTGCAACTCGTCTTTCTTCCCTGAAAGGGTCCACTTCCCTGGATATATCTTCTGCGCTTTTCCTGAGCTCAACACTTTCACCGCTCTTGCAACCCCGACCCACGTGCTGCTCCAGCGGCGCAAGACGGCTTTGGTCTCTTTCACCGTGCCGTTGTCCTCCAGCACCCTGTCGGCTTCTGCGACCACCTGAGCGAGGCCAAGCTGGGACGTCGCTTTCTCTGAAGGTCCGCCGCCTCCTCGAGATCGCGCCGGTCCTGACAACCAACAAGCCCAACGTTCAAGCCCGATGCACGTGTCCCCCAGGCCTGGCCACTGTTGTCCTGGCGGCAACCGGCAAACGATGCGAACAGGCTTCGGGTCGGAGGAGTCCTCTTGCGCAGCCCCGGCGCGCCGAGCGACTCCGGCATGCAACGGGTGAAGGCCCGCCGCCTCCTCGAGATCGAGCCGGTCCTGGCAGCCAAGAAGCCCAGCGTTCTGATGCACATGTCCCCCAGGCCTCGGCATTGTTGTCCTGGCAACTGCAATCGTCCAAACTTGCAAGCTTTGGGTCCGAAGGTCCTCTCGTGCAGCCCTGGCACGCAAGGCGACTCCAGCATGCAACCAGCGCTGGCTCGATGCCTCACTAAGCTCGCAGGATGCGAAAAGGGTCAATCTGCTTGCGTTAGTGGACAAGTCTGAAGATTGGGCCGGTGCGCCGTTGCGGTCCTCGCATCACAGCACAAGCAGGAACATTCGCAAAGAGGGACTTCACGGTCCTTCCGACCGGGAACTCCTCGCGAAAACTCGTGGGCGGCGGACAGGGACTCCTGAAGCCCGAACGAGTCAGCTGCCAACCCCTCAACGCTCCCAAGACTCAGGCCGTGCTCGGCCACTGCAATGAGCAACGCCAGCGCATTCCCAGGCTGAGGCACGCACCTTGCAAAACCACACAACAAACAGCGCAGCATATCAGCTTGCGGGCCTTGGCTTTTTATCCTGGCCCTCATCACAGCCATGGCCATTCCTGAACTTCACGGGCCTGCAAGGCCAATCCTACCGCTGGATACGTCGGCAATGTTTGCCCAGTGCCTTCAAGCATTTGATGAGCACTCTTGGGCGGCGGACGACTTCTTGCGTGCCAACATGTCCTTGCTGCTTCGTGTTATGTTGGTCCGCGTGTTCACGACCCTACGCGGCTTGTTTACTAGCACTCTGGTTGCCGCTGGCGCTGCTGGAGCCGTCAAAGACGCCACCTTGCCGATGCCCTTGCACTGGACTGACACTCAAAGCTCCTTTCGCTCCCCGAATGCCTCAAATTGCCTGTACAGTCACAAAGATCAACTATGCTATCTCGCCGCCGGGGGTCAAAAGGTAAGGGTCTGCCAATACACTTCAAGAGCATTGTGAACTTCGCATGGAGGCGGACACTGCTGATTTTTACATGGCTGGCATCCTTCATGGAAGAAGAGCGTGTCCCCGGTCCTGGCGGCAGCCGGCAAAAGATGCGAACTGGCTTCGGGTCGGAGGAGTCCTCTTGCGCAGCCCCGGCGCGCCGAGCGACTCCGGCATGCAACGGGTGCCGTTTTGCCACCTGAAAGAGCCAAAGTGCAATCTGCTTGCGCCTGCGGGCAACTCTGAGAACTGGGCCAATATGCTGTCCTGGCACTCAGCACGAAACAAGAACATGCAAAGGAGGGACTTCATGCTCCTTCAGCCCAGGAACTCCTCGAGCAAAGTCCTGGGCGGCGGCGACAAGGGACTCCTGAAACCCGAAAACCTTCGAAAAAAATGTGTCCCAAGACCCAGGCCGTGCTCGGCTGCACGAGCAGCGCCAATGCAATCCCGAGAAGGCAGAGGCACATACCTGGCCGCTGCCTACCGCGGGCACGGTAGCGTCACAAGCTTGCCAGCCTCGGCTTTTGGTCCTGGTCCGCATCATCGCCATGGCTATTCGAAAAGCGCTTGAGCGGCCTGCGATTCCTCAATCACTGGCACTAGACCATCGGGCAACCATTGCGAGCTGTTGTTGTGTCAGTGTTGATGAGTACCCTCGAGCCAAGTTTCCAGAGCAAACACAAGATTGACTGGCTTCTTTGCCAACGCACGGGTTTGGATGCTCCTCCTCCTTTTCACTCGCGGCCTGAAGGTCGGTCGGGCCAAGCCTTGCAAGGCTTCGCAGCGTCCATCCGTCAGACTGGCTGACCCACATCCTGCCGCTGCATCAAAGTCCAAGCGAGATACCAAACTGGCCTGCCTGCAAAACAGGCAACCGAAATCGGCACCGCGGAAGTCACAAGCTGTCGTGCCCTGGAGGGCGGGGGTTTCAGGGGTCTCTGAAAGTTTTGAGGTTTCTGGGGCGCCTGGCGTTGCTGGGGTCCCTGAGGTTCCTGGAGTCCCTGGATGAGACGCTGTCAGAGGCAGGCATGGCTGCACGCGGAGCGCCAAGCTGCAGGCTCCGCCAGTCCTCCACGGACTCCTCCTGCAGGAGGCGTTCCAACGCCTCCATGCGCTCGGCGTCAGTGCGGCTCTTGGCCTGCGCCATCACTGCGTCGGCCACCTGCAGGGCCTTTGTGTCACCGGCCAAGACGGCGGCCTGCAAGTCTTCCCAGTCAGACTTGGCCGGCTCGCAGTCACCCTCCGCTTGCCGCGGGCAAGGTCGCCGAGATAGCCCGCAACTGCATTGAAGGACATAGCAACAAGATCCACAAGCAACTTTCAGATTTCAGCCAAACTCAGCTTCGCAAGCCCTCACATCCAAAGTCTGATCAACTCGTCTGCCAAATTCTGACCAACTCCTCCGAAAGTCACATGTGCACATGCTGCTGCTGGAATCTGCTGGGCACCAGGCGTCTTCTACTGGCCCGGCCTGGGTCGACGAGCGTCCCTGGGGTCCCTAGGGTCCTGGGGTCCCTGGGGTCCCTGGGGTCCCTGGGGTCCCTGGGGTCCCTGGGGTCCCTGGCGTCCCTGGGGTCCCTGGGGTCCCTGGATTTTCTCGGATTTGCGGTGGGCAGTATCTGAAGCACCCAAGGTCCCTGGAGACCCTGGGGTTTGTGGGGTCCCTGGGGGTTCTTGGTGGGCCCCCCTCAAACAAATCCGCACGAGCGTGCTTGGGGTCCCTGGGGTCCCTAGGGTCCCTGGTCCCTCTGAAAACCCTGGGTACCTTTGGGGGGGTGTTAAATCCGGGTCAGGGGACCAGGGACCCTAGGGACCCTAGGGACCCTAGGGACCCCGGGGACTCCGCAGGTCTTGGAAGGGGGGAGCCTCTGGGAAGTGGCGTGCCTTGAACCTCCATTGAACAAAGTCGTTCTGCTACGCAAACCAAAGCAACGTAGACTATCAGTCTAAAAATCTGCAAATCTAGAAATCTAATAATGTACAGATCTATAAATTGATAAATCTACAAATCTAAACATGTATGAATGTATAGATCTACAAATCTAGAAATCTAATAATGTAAAGATCTATAAATTGATAAATCTACAAATCTAAAAATGTATGAATGTATAGATCTACAAATCTAGAAATATAATAATGTAAAGATCTATAAATTGATAAATCTACAAATCTAAAAATCTATGAATGTATAGATCTACAAATCTAGAAATATAATAATATAAAGATCTATAAATTGATAAATCTACAAATCTAAAAATATATGAATGTATAGATCTACAAATCTAGAAATATAATAAAAAATCGATCTATAAATTGATAAATCTACAAATCTAAAAATCTATGAATGTATAGATCTACAAATCTAGAAATATAATAATATAAAGATCTATAAATTGATAAATCTATGAATGTACACAAATAAATAGATCTGTATCTACTGAAACCGATACATGATCAAAAACCACTTCACAAGTCGCTTCCAGCAAAAAACCTGCAATTGACCGCAGGAATGTTCGTTGCACCCCACCTTGTCACCCCAGGTACCACAGGGTGTCCCCGGGTCCCTAAGGTCCCTAGGGTCCCTAGGGTCCCTGGCGTCCCCTGGGGTCCGCAGGGTTTCCAACGACGCTTCAGATTGACGGATGCTTGCGTCAAGAACGCTAGGGAACCTTCAGGGACCCCAGGGACCCTAGGGACCCTAGAGACCCACAAACACAGGAAGATCCACGTGGCCTCACCAGGTCAACTTGGCAAATTCCGCGAGAAGATCTGCACGTCGCAGTGGATCCTGGCGCCTGGCATGTGACGTGATTGCTCGGCGGGTCAAACATAAAGGGAGCCTGACAGACGGTGAGTTGAGCAAGAGCCTCACGGATCACCTCAAAAGATCAGCTGCACTTGGCGACGGCAACGGAAACAGCAAAAGGTCCGGGCAATGTAGATCCCGCGGTTAAACAAGCCTTGGCACGAGAAGCAAGGCTTGTTGGGCCCAAACCTCCAAGATCAGTTGGGCTTGGCAGTGACAGCGCAAACAGCCAAGCGAAGGCCCAGGCGGTAGATCTCGAGGTCACAAAGCTCTCTCTTTAGAGGGGGTTTTCCAAATGGCTTATATTCTACCTAAGAGGCTTCTAGCACTCGTCCGTCCAGCATTTGACCTCGTCCTGCGAAGGATTCGAAGTCTAAAACGCTGCGTGCAGGCGTGTGGCTGCAAAATAGAGACCCCTAGATATGCTTGCAATTTGGCTCCAGGTTGCATTTCAAGCGAGCCAACCTTTGCAGGGCTAAGAAAAACAAAAAAAAAAAGAAAACAAGGGGTCCCAAAAAAAGGGGTCCCCGAAAAAAAGGGAAAAGGGGTTTCCTTTGGCAAAGCTTGACATCGCTTGAAATGCAACCTGGAGCCAAATTGCAGCGCATATCTAGGGGTCTCTATTTTGCAGCCACACGCCTGCACGCAGCGTTTTAGACTTCGAATCCTTCGCAGGACGAGGTCAAATGCTGGACGGACGAGTGCTAGAAGCCTCTCAGGTAGAATATAAGCCATTTGGAAAACCCCCTCTAAAGAGAGAGGTTCGCCTGAGAACTGCTGAAAAGTCTTCTAAAGAGAGGGATACAGGGAATGCAGGGATTCCCTGCAGAAACCCTGCATTGAAATTCCCCCAGGATTTCTTGCTATACGCTTAATTTCTTCAACACAAGTGCCAACACAATTGCCACTCGTGTTCACATTTCTGCCGCGCCAAGCCGCTATACGCGCTTAATTTCAACATGTCGGAGTACATGTCGGATGAACATGTTCTTGGCACTCCGGGCGCGCCACCCTGCCGCGCCTGCCTGCGTAGACGCCAGCGTACGCGCCGCATGTTTGCATGGTGTTTGCACGGTTTTGCAGGGTTTTTGCATGTTTGCATGACATGATTTTGACATGGTGTTTGCACGGTTTTGCATGATTTTGGCATGGTGTTTGCACGGTTTTGCATGGTTTTTGCATGGTGTTTGCATGGTTTTTGCATGACATGATTTTGCATGGTTTTTGCATGTGTTTTGCATGTTTGCATGACATGATTTTGACATGGTTTTTGCATGTTTGCATGACATGGTTTTTGCACGTTTTTTTTCGCACGGTTTTTTGCATGTCATGTGGCTCAACCCCGTGCCCCCTCCCTGTTTTTTTTCCTGTCAGGCCGTCCGTTAGGTTCATCCTGGAGCTGAACTTCTGCGAGGCAGGGCAGTGCCGAGCGGGCACTTAACTAGTGCCGAGCGGGCACTGTGCCGAGCGGGCACTTAACTAGATGTGCCGAGCGGGCACGTGCCGAGCAGGCACAGGCAGTGCCGAGCGGGCACGTGCCGAGCTGGCACCCCAGTGCCGAGCGGGCACTAGTAGGAACCCCGGTGCCGAGCTGGCACCGTGGAGGGGGTGCAGTGCCGAGCGGGCACTAGTAACTAAATGTGCCGAGCAGGCACCGTGCCGAGCAGGCACTAGATGTGCCGAGCGGGCACGTGCCGAGCTGGCACCGTAGGAGCGCCAAGGCGTCCACTGTGGAGGACGAGCAGGGTGTGAAGGAGCTCACCGTTTGAGCTCCTTCAGCAACCATCGCCCAACGGCTTAGTACTGGCTCGCCCAACCTCGTTTGATGGCTCGCCCAAGTACGGGTTCGCCCAAGTACTGGCTCGCCCAACGGCCCTTAGTACTGGCTCGCCCAACCGGCTCGCCCAAGTTTCGAACTGGCTCGCCCAAAGTACTGGCTCGCCCAACCCCCAAGTACTTCGCCCAACGTTAGTACTGGCTCGCCCAACTGGCTCGCCCAACTGGCTCGCCCAACTGGCTCGCCCACGGGTTCAGCGGCAAGTCCGCGAGTGCGCAAGACGTTCGTGTCGTACTGGAAGTATACCAGGAAATTGAAAGTTAATATCTTTCAATTCAAATTCCCTGGTGCAGGTTGGCCCCTTAGTACTGGCTCGCCCAACCTCGTATGATGGCTTGCCCAACGGCCCCTTAGTACTGGCTCGCCCAACTGGCTCGCCCAACTGGCTCGCCCAAGTACGGGTTGGTCAGCGGCAAGTCCGCGAGTGCGCAAGACGTTCGTGTCGTACTGGAAGTATACCAGGAAATTGAATGATAATATCCTTCAATTCAAATTCCCTGGTGCGGGCAACCAAAAAATGGTCCGTGCCTGTTTCCAGTTCCGTGGCACTTCGTGTTCACAGGAAAAAAAAAATCGAAACTGTCGTCTAACCCGACAGTTTCGGCGAACCTGCCCGGCATTGAAGCCTCCACCCCGGCCGCACCACCTGCCCGGCATAGAAGCCTCCAGCCTGCACACCGAGGTCGGAATTCCGACTTCG